TCTTCGGGCGCGACTCGCAACTCATTGTAGAAAGTGTGATGCCAGATCTTCTCCATATCATCCCAGTTGGTCACGATGCCGTGTTCGATTGGGTATTTGAGGGTGAGGATACCTCGTTTGGACTGGGCTTCATCACCAACGTAGCTATCCTTCTGTCCCATACCAACCATGACGCCCTGAATAATGTAGAGGTAAGAAGGTTACCTGTAAGCATCCTGTGAAACCGGTACTACGATGTTTTCCATTCGATTAAACTATACCCTCTCTGTCCCAAACTTTCTAAATTTGCGAAATCCACTTTTCGATGGAATTCCCTATTTCGCTTGATAGTTATTCCGGATGACGATTAGCCATTTACTTCGAGACGCAATGATTTTGCTTGTGTTGGACTTTCGCTAAATCTTTCCAAATCTAACGGTTTAGTCAAACATACATGCCTATCGTAGACCACACATACCTAGGCAAGTTCTAGCGTAATATCTTCGTGAACATGCTGTCCACTTTTTGCAGCACAGAGATTGAGGATCCTTTCACTAGAACTGTTTGCTACGAATATGAGCGATAGCATGTTTTCAGCCAATATCGTGATGGGATGAGAGACTGATTACATGTCGATCGAACCCGTTAATCGATAAATTCGATCAAAACTCCTAACTCCCTCCCTGTAGTTTGGATTCCAAAGTAATATTCACTGCGATCGAGCTCAATCAGGCTGCGATCGATGAGCCTGCCGAAGAAGCGTGCCACTCAAGCTATCCACGTCAGACTCGTCACAGTTTTTAAAGCACAAGACTTCCGACTTCCAAACTACACATCTCGAGTATCTGTTTAACTGCTGAAGAATACTGCTCCAGGACGGACGCATCGAGCACAGAATGACATCCCTGGGAAGTCTGCGAACGCCCGAAAACCGAATAAACATAAGACATTAGTTAAGCTCACTGTTGTACGCCAATAGGAGCAAACACCAAAATACGCTTTTCCATTAGTAAATCTCAGAGATTAGCACCCTTTCTGGAAGCTCTTTCAGGTGCAGTTACCCTGAAGCCGTTCTTCCTGACTGTCCTACCTGTACTGTTGGCTGGTTGGTCATATCGTTTACCTGTATAGGTGAGTTTGTGTTTTGGGCTCACTGACAAGTGATGAAGACTTGTTGTCGGGATCCTGTGTGTTACCAAGTGCGACACCGTTTTCTGACATGGACACTGGTCTTGACCTGCAAACATACATGATCTGAAAGGTCAAAATACTGAGGTTGGTAAACCTCCTGCATGCGCTGTGTTCTCTCCCTCCCTCTCGTGAGATGGGCTGAAATATCATCGCCAGCCGAACGACTGCAAAAGGGCGAATGCTGTGTGACCCAACGGAGTGCAGTCAGGGCAGGAAATCTAAGCCAGTCCAGGATGTGGCCGGACGTCTTTGCGAGTAGGCATGGTGTCTGAGGGACAGACCCACCTGGTGAGCCAGATCCGGGGGAGAACGACGGCAACTCAATTGGCGATTAGCCAAATCACACGGTCCACGGGGACCGAAGGCTTGCAACACTTTTTGCTAGTGTGGTACATCACACACGCAAGACAAAGCAGGTGTCTAAAGTTGATAAAGTTACAAAGTCTACAAGTTCATGTTATGGAAAAGACCGATCAATATCGTCCAACCAGCGGGTTCGAAAAAAACGACAACTGACTTGACAGTGACTTACCTGGTGACGTGGTCGACCAACAATCGATGGGAATACAGCACGGGGAGCGTCATCACCAGCAAAGCCTGCTTTGCACATTCCTGAACCATTATCGATGACTAGAGCTTGAGCTTCTTCATCAAACATTATTCAGCAACCCACAATCCCAGTAGTAGTTTGACTGCACGTACGTGTGTTCCACCCATTTATTCGTTTTGGTTACTACCATATATGGGCTTTCATCGGATCTCTGTTTCAATTGGCCAGTGTATTCGCACGGATTCTTCCTGTTTCTCGCTTCGGTTGTATACGGACAGCCTTGAGGTCAAGTTACCTTTCATGTGCATCAGTGGGAATCCGATAAGGTCAATCGATTGACAGGAGGGGAATTTGCCTCAGTAATGTTGCACAATTGGGCGAACAGTGGAGTTTGCAGCACCGGTCACAACAAACCAGGTCGAAACAAGCGGGGCACGTCATTTGTATTCCGTGTTCACCATGACTACAGGTAACGTGGAAGTTCCTGTCAATCTCAGACAGGCCTTAGAAGTATAAATAGGATGCAGTGGACTTCACAGGATTTCACCCTGCTTTATTTGTACTTTACAGAGCTGCTGGAAGTGAAGTGTCATGAGATGATGCGTTTTCTTCAAGCGGCTGATCCTCACGGGAGGCAAGCTGGTCCCATGAGTGTCGGCGCCACTACCCTTGTGGTTTTCTACCTGCGGACTCCACAACATTTCCTAGACCAGCATGATAACAAAAACAATCGCGGCAATTAGATAGTCTACACCACCAACTCAGTGTTTTACGTGTGAACCACATGTAGGCGATGTTGCTGGCTATGAAATGCTGCAACCCTTTCAAAACCTTATTCGTATCGTTTGTCTTCACAGTGTGTGCTATGTGCTATTCCAGTTTGACTTCTTATTGATTAAAGATTTGATGCGATACACCGATTGCGCTACACTCCGTCTGATCAATCTCTTTTCGACTCGATTTAGCGAAGGCTTGTAGGATAGATGGTCAGCCTCCCCACACAAGGACCACGCTTGTGAGGAGACCACAGAAACACTGTGCATCAGCCACGATTCTGTGTGCGCTCATTTGGCAGAGGTCACGTCAGGAAAGATCACGTACAATCCTCAAACTTCGTGGTCCTACTTGGTGGTTGACTGTTCCCCACATTTTTATACCTGCTGGTCGTTTGAGGCTTCGGGCAAACCAATCGTTCGCCTGACAGTTCGGCTGCATCCAACGTGCGCTGACAGAGTAGCACACTCGCCTGCAGACTTCACAATCAAGGCTGTGTACTACTAATGAGCTCTAATAAGAGACAAACTCCAGTCCAGTGCTTCCACTGTTTGGTGTGGACCCACCAGAATAATTGCTCCAAGCAATTGCATCAGTTTAGTCCGTATACCCAACTACCTTGGTGTGAACCTTGCTGCTGAGACGATTCGACGGAGCTTGGGCGTCTCTCTACTGACTTCTGAGTTTTATTCTTCCCGGTTACGATAGCATGCTGTAGACTTACTGAAAATGACAGATATACAGCCGTGTACACAAAGTCCGTCAACTGATTTCTTCGGTTATAAGGGCTCGACAGTTCATCCAGCGCCGTTTGCTTTACCTTGAGTTGGTCTGGTATCCAGCCGAGACATGACCTCAAACGGTACAGTGGACAGGGAGTTAAAAATGACGAGTCGATGGATAAGAGAGGCATGATTTGGTACTATTCAGAGTACCGTAGTCAGGACCACCAGTTTTACACAATAACAAGGTTATTGGCAATACCTTTGAAATGAAAAATTCCCAAGGAAACCCTATAGCTTATTTTTATCCACACACTCGTGTGAATTTTTGGTGATTTGTATGCTCTGATAGAAGCTCCTCAATCTTTCGGATGAGGTCAGATCTGTCCAAAACATTCCATTCCGGAATATTCTACGTCCACTCAAGTAGGTGAGTCCGGACCTACAAACGCTAGACTGAATCGAACACTACGGTGCCAAAAGAATTAAATTTTGACCGCTGTGACAACAAAAATGAATGGTAATACTGAAGCGCGTTCCAACTCCCGTATAGAGAATTCTAACTTATTTCAAAATGTTACAGTTCTGGTTTCCTGTCATCGAGAACCACGTTGGAATTTTGGTTGGTAATAGGCAAGACCCCCTGGGAAGAGCGCTATACTGATTCGATTCCACTATTAGAATTAAAGCCTCCGTACGGTTCTCTGCATCAAGCAGCACATGAAGGCACCATAATCATATTTACAAAGGACGCGGTTTTCATTAGTGGCGTTTTCTTTGCATCGTGGAGAAAACCAGGTTCCTTCTACCCTGTACCTTGTTAATCGTAATCGATGTCTCATACACAGGTTTAATCTCGTCAACGTCAACAAGCTGTCACTGAGGTGGTGCTCTGGTGTCAACAAACTTGGGTGGACACTCTGACAAGGTCGATTGTGATCGTCTTGGCACCGATGATTTGCATCCAGTCCTACAGATTACTGTTGCAACGGTGATACTACTGGTGGGGGAGGCATGAGAGTAGTATGTTTTCTTGTAAATGCGCTTTGTGTCTCTTGAAAAGTGAGATCTATTGCGGAATTTGTGGAGCTGCTTTGTAGAATTTGTTTGGATTCGAGCAATATCCAGGAAAGTTCAGAAAGACGCGTTCAAAGAGAATGTGGATATTCAGTTTTTGTAAACAAGATACATATGAGAGTTTTGCTTCCCTGTCCAATAGTCCGTCACTGTTCAGTTAGCATTTTCTAATAGGTGACTCCGCAGCGAAGGCCTTCTTTCTTTCGCTATGACCTGGAACTGACATGCGATTGCCATCTGAGAGAACCTCGCTGCCGACACGGTGACTGGGCAGCAGTCATTCAGCAACTTCGAATAATAAATAGTTTATTCTCACACAGGAGGTGAACCAAGTGGAATGAAGTAGGTAAATCATATCCGGAGGGCCCCAGAGGTGAAACCGCCAAAATGAACATCGAGTTGTGATGCTGATGGTGGAAGGAACTCCAAGATTCTCTTCCGCATTGTGGAAGTTCTGTCCCCCAACCAGCATTACAGTTGAAAAGATTTGAACGTAGGATATACCTCATCCAGGGAGGCAGCTTGCCTTAGGGCGTTTTTTTCAATCGCTCATCGACTCGTCAGTGCCTTTTGGAGAAACGCCGTTCCACCACCGCAATCACAGTGAGATACTGCCCAAGCGTGTGCTTCTCTATCGATCACGCAAGCATGGTGACCAACCTGCTTCGGACAGTGTTGCCGATGTTACAACACTTGTGGAATGAGTTCGCACACTTTTGGTAGCAAAAGCTAGATGAATGCGGTCCCCGCATCACTAGCTACACTTCCGCTTTTGTGTACTGCCACATGAACACTTTTAGGAAGTCAAACCAAGGTAACGCTTACGATAGCAGCCATTGGATCTCCCAGTTATGATACACTTTTCAAGAATATAATGAAAAGATTGTTCATTTGGGTTTTATTTCTGGTTTCCGTCAGTGATCTGCCATGTATACCCATATGACGTCTCAGTGCAGTGCATGTCACGCACGCTTTGAGTTTGTTCACTCATCGATTAGCCAGCGAATCACGTGTCATATTGCATCGCCTTTGGGCCAGTCACCAGAGCAGGTGACGTGTTCTCTTAACACGATTGGTTGATTTTACTCTGAACTTGTGTGGCGCTTCTGCACTTGCGCGTGTCAGCTTTGCGATAGACAATGTTCCCGAAGTTCTCAACAGAAGCATTTTAACACCTTACTTTGTAATTAACCGTTAAACTTCGCATAATTCCAGGTTTACGTTGATGGGATTTCGGTACCCGCGGGGGTAGACAGCTGTAGAAATTCTAACAACGAGATTCGTGGTATCGATTCGAGGAACGGTGAATATCCACGTATGTAGAGTTTCTGCGCATCTAACTACCGCTAACGAGAGACGCAAATAACCTCCCTGTATTCTTCAAGCCTTCGGTGCTGCACACAAGCCGCTTCATTTTTCAGTCGATGCATTTGATCCTGATTACGATATTACTCATAAGGTTAATGAAAAATTTGTGCGCACCATGTCGTCGTTCGCTGGATAAAAGCAGTGCCCGAGTCCATATACAGACAGGTGTGGACTCACAGTCCTCAGCAGACTTTGAGCAAACTTGAATGCATGGTCTTAAAACCTAGTATTGAGCAGCTAGCGTTTTATAGAAACGGGTGGTATTTTTATCATTCGCAGATCCAGTATGATGATGGAGCACCTCCTTGAGTCTTTCATCTTTGTCCACTCTGCTAGCGGCTAAGGATGAAGAAATGAATAACCGTTTTCAATTCCTGGATGGCTCATTGATGGGACGTCAAAACAAATCCGGTAAAGAGGGCATGTACGGTTTGGCGAGTACACTTATTTTCACAGAATATTTGAGAAATTTACTTGAGCCTTTGACCTTCAGAGACTAGAATCCTTACTGGTGATAATCTTGGTGGCAAACAGTCGCAAAGATATTCGAGATATCGCGATACATGTATATCTTTGTAATGTACTACTCATAAGGTTGCTGAAAATCCGTCGACAGCCCACGACCGGTTTCGCCCTTTTTGGGGCTCATCAGATAAGCGCAGTCCCCGGGTTGCCGTCAACCTTATGTTTTAATTGAAACCAAATTGCACGAAATTAGCGAATATACACTCATTTGAAAACCTTTGAAAACATCACAAACGAGCGATTCAGCTGGGTTCCAGGTGAGTCTCTCGGAAAACCAAATTAGTTTGCAAATGAGTGTATATGGTCGTTGGCTTGTTCGCTGAACTGGGAAATTTAGTTAGTTTAGTTACATTATGTCTCAGCTTCCTTATCTTGAGTCCAAGTAGGGAAAACCGGTCGTGGGCTGACCTTATGAGTAGTGCACTACAAAGATATCCAGGTTGGTTTATAAACAGACACCTCAAACCTAAGATCGAAAGAGGAAGCCTTAAAAACCGGTTTACATCTACATTTGTCTAAGAATTCACATGACTTACGTCTTGAGACGGACGTCCAGTGCAGCCCAAATTACGGTACTCTTTAATAGCGGTACAGTGCTCAACACCAGCTTCAAGGATGTATTGTCGGTCTGCGATAAGTCAACATCCAGCAAATCGTATGGGTCGCACCACTCGGTGACCGCCTGAGCACAAAACAGAATGAGGAGTTGAGGGGCTGCGTACTTGACCAGTGCGATCGATACCAACCACCTGAGAGTTCCGGCGAAATCGTCCAAAATGGCTTACCGGGTGCCAGTAAGTTGTCCTGTTCATGGAAGAGCATTGGAAACAGCCAAGGTGATTATCATTCAGTTAACTGACCCACCGCTGTGGCAACAAAAGGACCTTGAGACTGCCTTGACCCACCACTCACACTTTCCAGCGAACAAACTAATCAAGTAATTCAATCTGTATAAAGATCCCGGCTGCTTCGTGCTCCCGCTCTAAAGTTTATAGTTATATTTGCCAGAGTAGACGTTATCAAGACCGTATGTTTGGAAACCGTTGTATGTTGATGTAAAACTTTGACAATCCATTACCGTCTCGTCCGTTTCTGGAACACAGCAAGTAGGCATAGTCCCCAACAGATTCGCTTGAGTCCCATATTACTTAGTAAATAAATCTTCATCCTCAAGAATCTGAACCATTGGACACGCTAAATCTCAAAGAAAATCACTGAGAGCGTCGCCTGACCCTGGTTACTCCCGTCAGAAGTCACTTTTGAAGGTCTTTACAGTATGAGCATACAAGAACAACAACAGACGGTCTAGGCACAACAACGAAAATAAATGAATAGCATTCTACATTCACATTATCCGGAACTCAATCACGGATAAAATGGTTTTCATAGAACGAAGCAGCGTCACCTCAGATAGTCCAGTTCACGTAAACCACTGTTAGTGTTCCGGTTGCGGGTTAGACCACAAACAGCACCCGTAGGATTTGATTGTAGCAACCTTTGATAAGAAGTGGCCTTAGGTGACGAATTGCACGTCCCTGCGTCACAGTATGCTTCCCGGTTCGTTATCTACTGCATTCATAAAGCATATATCTGAGCTAGTAATCGCTATGAGGTTAACAGACGGAAACAGAGTGGTCCTTTTTTATTGCTTTTGACCAAGACTGACCTGAATTTCGTATCAGCAACCAATTATGCTGGTAACCAGCAGTGGAACAATAGCAAAATTAGTTAACCTAAAACAACAAGTCGTGATCACGCTGAACCTTCTTTCACCTCAGCAATCTGCTTTTACCAAAAAAATCGTGTACAATGCACCGGATATTCTGGTGAACGAGCATCATGCTCAGGTATCACGGGCATCTCTGCGATCAAAAGGCATTTGTGATCTCCATGCTAAAAAATCGGTTGGGCAGTAGGAACGAAGCATCTTTCCGCTAATAGCGATTTAGAATTCGACTGAAACTGAAGTTGATCTAACCGGAAAAGCCGAGAAGCACCGTATAGGTCTCATCAACGGTGCACATTTTACGAAACTCCAGTAGGTCTCGAACCCGTGACCTTCTTGAAAGTGATTGAACATTTAACCATTTGGCTACTAGTGAAAGGAAGAAGGCCTTCGTTGCGGAGTTATTTATTAGAAAATGCCAACTGACCAGTTATAGACTATTGGACAGGGAAGGGAAACTCTCATATGCATCTTATTTACAAAAACTGGACATCGATCTTCTCCTTGAACTTTCCTGGATATTCATTAACTCCAATCATTCATTGCTTAAATCCAAGCAAGTGCTACAAAGCGACTAAACATTCATTGACTGTTGCTCAAATCCAAGCGAATGCTACAAAGCGACTCCACAAATTCCGTAATAGATCTCACTTTTCAAGAGGCACAAAGCGGATTTACAACAAAACATACTACTCGCATGCCTCTCCATCAGCAGTAGCACCGTTACACTAGTGGTTGATCAGCAGTGTGATTAGCTCTCACTTAGACAAACTTAGCATCACTCACCCTCTAATCGCGGAAACCACATCACGTGGTCATGGATTGACCGGCTCACGAGTGACGAGTCCTCAGAATAAAGTTTCAATAAGTTGACAAGAAGGGTGAAAATTCTCTCTGAAAAGCCGTTAACGAGAAGCCAGTCAATAGATGATCATGTGATGTGGTCCCCTTGATTCAAGGGTGACTGGTGCTGTGTCCTGTCTGGATGAGAGCTAATCGCAATTCCGTTCAGTCGCTCGATGCCGAGAGGGTAAATGTTCACACCACTGGCCGGGAGGCCGCGGGCTTCTGATTCCCTGGAGTCTCATTAGATGTGCACCGCCGATGTTTCCCAATAAAGGTGAAACAGCTGTATAGTGCTCCTCAACTTCTCAGCACAGAACGACTTCTCTTACAGGAAGAAATCTCGCTCACTTAGCTTTGGCCGACTTATTTCCATTCTGACGAACAACACAGTGGTTAGAAAGATCTTTTCAAGGTGTACTCTCCGCACACTTGTTACGTATTCACATTTATTCAACAAGCCGACCGCAGCTACGGGGGTAAGGCTGTACAGGTAAAGACTGTTTGTCAAACGGCTGTGTTTCGATAGCAGCATTCAGCTCTTGGTCTAGACGACTGGTGTTTGTTTAAAGACATCCAAGAACTGCAATCCTCACATTAGTCCCACCGAACGCTAGTGCATGTAGACGGTGGAATGTCTCGTATTGCAACGCCGGATGCTTGGAAGTATCATTTTCCCAATGAGTTACATTTGCTAGTGGTTCATATCACCGACATTTACAATGTAATGACTTGTAAGATGTCTGTTGCAGAGGGCATCATCCTTATTGGTGCGCACAATTTTCGTCAGTGGATGTTTGTTGATTTGCGAAAGTTTTAAGTATCCTGTAGGTAGTCGCTCAAGGTGGTGGCTTCCTCTTCGCAAGGGAAACTGTTCGCAAAGTTGCTGAAAACTCTTCGACAGCCACCGACCGGTTTCACCCTTCTTGAGGCTCATCAGGTAGGCGCAGTCCCCTAGTTTCCGTCAACCTTATGTTCTACTTGAACCCAAATTGGACTAATTGCGACAAATACACTCATTTGCAAATCATTCGCGAAACCGCTCGTGGGCTGTCTTAGAGTTTTTGACAACCTTGTGAGTAGTTTCCTTTATTTAACTATACTGCAATATCTCGAATATTGTGCCAACTGAAACATGAGGCGGCCTGTGTGTAGCACATTCAGTTGTAGAACATCATAAACGAGAGATTCATTTGAGTCTCTCGTGAAAA